CAGCAAAAAAAAAAAAAAAAAAAAGCAAACCACCAAAAACAAAATCCTCATAGAAACAGGTGCTTTCTGTCCATCGACGAGGATAAAAAGGAACGAGAATAAGGACATGTTGACTTGACGGGTGCCGGAAGCCCAGCAGTTGGGGAGACCCCGTCCCCTCCGTGTTCACAGTTAACTCCGCGGACGGCGAGTCGGATTGGCGATCAGACAGCTGTGTGTCCGGTCCTAAGGTGACCACGACCGCGTGGTCCCCGTCTCCGAGGCAGGCTTGGCGCTGAAGCAGAGTTGTGAGATCCTGAGTTTGGGGGAGTTCTTCGGACGTGAGGTGGGGGCTGGGCGCGTTAGGACAGGCTGGAGCGGGGCAGGGGCAGGATGCGCCCGTTCTTCTTGCCCCCGTTCATGTGGGTGTAGGGGATGTGTTCGTCATAGTTCCTCTTGAGGCTCAGCGAGGACCCGCCGTCCCGGCCCCCCACCTCGTCCCGCTGCAGGTGCGAGGAGCGGTCCAGCGGGACGCTCTCCATGTCCTCGAACTCCAGCTCCAGGTCCTCGCTCTCGGGCGCCTTGTTCTCCTCACTGTGGAAGAAGGACACCTCCGGGAAGCTGGGGTGCAGGTCGTCCTGGAGTTGGTCGACGATCTCAAGGAAAGTCGGCCGCATCTTGGGGTTGAACTGCCAGCACATGCGCATCAGGGTGATGCTGTGAGAAAGAGGGATAGGTCAGCGTGGGGGACAGGTCAGCATGGGGGACAGGCTGGCATGGAGGACAGGCTGGCGTGGGGGCAGGCCAGATTGGGGGGGACAGGCCGGCATGGGGGACAGGCCAGCATGGTGGGGGACAGGCCAGCGTGGGGGACAGGTCACTGTGGGGGACAGGTCAGCGTGGAGGGGGACAGGTCAGCGTGGGGTACAGGTCATTGTGGGGGACAGGTCATTGTGGAGGACAGGTCAGCATTGGGGAGAGGCCAGTGTGGGGGACAGGTCAGCATGGTGGGGAACAGTCCAGTGTGGGGGACAGGCCAGCACAGGGGACAGGTCGATGTGGGGAACAGCTCAGCAGGGGAGACAGGTCAGTGTTGGGGGAGGTCAGTGTGGAGGACAGGCCAGCACAGGGGGACACGTCAGTGTGGAGAACTGTTCAGAAGAGGGGATGTGTCTGTGTGGGGGACAGGTCTGTGGGGGGACAGGACAGTGAGTGTGGGAGGCATCCCAGCATTAGGGATCTGCCGAGAGGCCTCACCCCTGTGGCTGCCTGCCGGGCAGGCTGCTCACACCAGGTGGCACTCACGTGCCAGGGCACAGGGACGGCAATTCTACTGGTAGCACAAAGCAAGCCAGAGGGACTGTCCCCTTCGCAGGCCAGGCCAGTGAGGGCTTCTCCTGAGGCTGCCTGAGCTCAGCCCATTACCCTGGTTATATCCTTCGCTTCTCCATGGCTTGGTTCGTTCCATGACGTATATTTTGTTGCCTCTTGGTGGGGGGGATGGTTAAGCCAATCAAAACCAAAAAGTCAGCTCACTGCCCACAAGTCAGAAGCAATTAATTGCTAGCTAGCCCTCCCAGGTGTGTTCAGAGGCTGCAGACTGCTCATCTTTCTCCACGGGTGCATTCGAACCCCCTGCTTCGGAGCTGGTTACCCACGAGGTCACCTTTTTTTTTCTTTCTTTTTGTTAACTTAGAAGAACAGACACGATTTTAACTTGCAAGGACAGACCCTTCTTTAGCGGATTCTTAGCAATGCCAGTAAATTTTCCCATTGTCTAAGTGTGTGTGTGTCCAACCCGCTTTGTCCTTTAGTGAAGATTTTTTATAAAAAAGCAACTTTTGGAAGACATAAAAATTATGTTTGATGAAACTTCACGTGTCTAAGAAATAGACAGAACATGAGCTGCTCCCCCACCCCAGCTCCACTCTCCTGAGACAACCACAGTTCCAGGGTTCTCGAATAAACTTCCTAAGAGATGATGCAAGGACAAGCATTCCTATAAAAGGCAGGAGACTCAAATAAGGCAGGCAGATAAAGACAGAACGTGCCAGTGTGTGCGTGCACACAAAAAAGCTGGCTTTGCAAACACACACATCAGTACAAAGCACGAGCATAAAGCTGGGAAATGCAAATATAAACCTAAGTGAAGACATGAGCTGTGCAAACATACAAACATGTAAAGATGTGATAGGCGAACACAAACACGCATAAAGAATTGGAGGAAAGACGCAGGCATATGTGTCAAACGATGCTATGCAAATAGAGGCATGTAAGTAAGGAGATGATACAAACACAGCATGCAGGGAAGGACAGGCTGTGCAAACAGACACACAGACAGAGACAAGATGTGCAAATAACAAGTGTGCGTAAGGAGGAGGAGCAGTTATAAGCAGGCGTGTACGGTTAGGTACTGATGGAAACACAGGAGGCGTCTGTGCAAAGAGCAGGGCTGCTTCGCCATCCCCACAGAACCCACTCCCTGCTACTCACACTTGATCCGGACAGTTTTCCGGCTGATCCAGATACCCCCCATCCATGACAAACTTTAACACCTGCTCGTTCGATAGACCTTGGTAAGGCTGCTCTGCCAAGCTGGTGATTTCCCAAAGGACCACGCCGAAGGACCTGAGTGCGACAGTGAGGGGAGTGACACAGAAGTCACAGAAAGGCACAGAGATACACACGTTCATGCACGGTGCACCCACGTTTACACTCAAGCACCTGGACTCATGCACACCCAATAATCACACGCACCCCCATATGTGTCTGTTTATTCACTCTGTTCCCACCTCACACTCTAATATACTCACCCACACGCACATCCAATACACATCCCCCAATACGTGTCTATTCACTGTTCCCACGTCCCACTCTAATATACTCATCTATGTGCACATCCAATACACACACCCCCAATATGTGTCTGTTTACTCACTCTGTTCCCACCTCACACTCTAATATACTCACCCACACGCACATCCAATACACATATGTACACATACAAGCATACACACACATCTGTTTAGTCACACTCTAATAGGCTCATACACATGCACACCCAATACACACATGTACACACACACACCCCCCTGTTTATTTACACTCTGTTCCCACAACACACACTGACACATTCACACATCTGCACACCCAATAGACACAGGCTCTCATGTGCATATATATCTCCGTTTACACACACTCACACTTATACATGTCCAATACAAACATGCACATACATACCCGGGCACTCACGCACATACATCAACATGCACAAACACATTTACAGGTGTGTCTACAGCACCCACGTTCACACTTAAGCATGTTCAGACACATGTGCACACACACACATCTATGCACACCTAGACAGTCACACTCAAACATGCTAATATGCACGCACACCCATTATATACACGAACACGTGTATACATCCACCTACATGTATGTACACACAGTCACAGGCAAACATATACATACCTGCACACACACATGTTGCTTACGAGTCATAGTGACCCTATGTACAAAAGCACTAAAGGCCGTTCTATCCTGTGCCAACCTCGCCTTCTCAAACACATTCATTCCCACCACTCCACTCACAGAATTGATCCATCTCATCGAGGGTCTTCCTCTCCTGCATCGTCCCTCCACTCTCCCAAACATGATGTCCCTCTCCAAGGACCAGTCCCTTCTTGCAACATGCCCAAAATATGTCAGACGAAGCTTCAGAATCCTTGACTCCAGGGAGCATTTTGGCTTCACCCTCTCCAGGACAAACCTGTTTGTTCTCCTAGCAGTCCATGGTATATTCAACACTCTTCTCCAGCACCACAGCTCAAAGGCATCAATTCTCTTTTTGTCATCCCTAGTCACTGTTTAATTCTCTGATGCATAGCACGTAATTGCGAAGACCATAGCCAGGATCAGGCGCACCTTAGTCTCTACACATACACACATATAAATAAGCACACAGGCACTCATACATGGCCCCACTCATATACATACACGCCCGTGTGTGTGCCAATGTACGTATATATTCACACATTCATGTGTAGACACAAATACAAACTACACATATCACATAGACATTATACACATGCAAATACACACGTGTACACACACACACACACACACACACACACACACACACACACTCTCTCTCTCTCTCTCTCTCTCTTCATTTACTAAGACTGCAGCTGACTGATTAGTGGAGCCATCCATGCACCGTGTACAGAGGCCTTGGAAACTGAGGTGACTGGGCCACGTCCTCAGCAGGGAGAGAAGGGGCATGAGGAAAGCACGCTCGGCTGCTTCACAGGAGTGTGGGACTGGGGGTGAGGGGACATGGGTGAGGGTCACATGAGGGGACTCATGCACGCACAACTCACCACATGTCAGAAGATGTGGTGAAGACGCCGTCCTTCAGTGACTCAGGGGCCATCCAGCGCACCGGGAGTAGGCCCTTGCCCCCTTTCCGGTAGTAATCAGTTTCATAGATGTCTCTGGTCATCCCAAAGTCTGACAACACACAGTTCATTGCTCTTAACCGTCAGCCTATGGCAGAAGCCCGCCATCCCCACCCCTCGTGGAGCCCGGAGGTGGTCTCATAGGGACAGAAGAACCACCAAGGGGAAAAGGGCAAGGCCCTGGCCTGCAGCTCGGAATCCCCTTCTCAACCATGCTTCCTTCTCTGAGATTGTGGGGACATGCTCCTGAACTTGGTTGTAACAAGACTACTTGTTATAAAGACTACTGCTCCCCCCTAGACAGGACCCCATTAATTGCAGGCTGCCCAGCCAGGAACCCTCCTCCCACCTGTTCCATGTTCAAGGCCACAGCAAGGCCTATCCATGTTCCCTCTGCAAAAAAACAAAACAAAACAAAAACAACACCCCAAAATCAAACCTACTCCCACTGAGTCCACTCTGATCCACAGCAACCATACAGGACAGAGCGGAACTGGGTTTCTACGATGTCCTCTTCATGGAAGCAGAGATGCCTTGCCCCTTTCCTGCTACTGGATTCAAACCACGGGCCTTTGGATTTGCAGGCAAGCACTTTAACCGCTCCCACCCCAGGGCTGTCTCTGCATCTCTCTCTAATACACCCACATCTCGCCAGTGCTTGGATTGCACCCAGGCTTCTCACTCATGTGTCACCTGCAGGATCCTTCCAACCCCACAGTCCTTCGACATCATACCACCCAAAAGAGGCCACTAGAAAGGGGAGCAGAACACTTCCTGTTTTCCGACAGGTGTGCAGGAAATGGATTTTGGGCTCATTAGTAGAAAAATCACGCTTATGTAAGCCAATGTCTTTGGGGATTATAACTAGGGGACTATGACCTCCTGTGTCCCATGCTTATGTATAGGATAATGCCTTTGGGATCAGAGATAGGATCCTATCACTTCCTGTGTCCTATGCTTACATAGGATGAAAAGCCTTAGGGGTTGCAAGTAGGATGACATCGTTTCCTGTCTCCCATTGGCTAAACAGGATACTATCTAAATGACTTCACAGGACATTCGAGATCCCCGTGGGACCAGTTCCGGTCCCTTTTCTCAGCCTCATGCTGCAGGCTCCTCCAACTCCCTCCACAATTCCAACCACATCAGCCTTGCTTCCAGCCCTGAGTCCTGGCATCACGCAGGCCAGCCTCTTCTCTCCCTGCAAGTCTCCTCTCATTGATCACTTCCCTGCTGGGGGCTTCCTGAGCCACCACGAGCCCTAGGTTTTCTCCCTCACAGAGCACTTGACTTCCTTCCAAGAGCTTTGCCTACTCTTCACGGCCTTGTAGGGTGCTCTGGTGGCCTCCCATGACTTTGGTGGGTGAAGAGCCACGTTGCCACCCCAAAGGCAAGTGGTTCAAATCCACCAGCTGCTCCATGAGAGGAAGATGGGCAATCTACCGCATGGTTAACAGGTCTGAAAACCCACTGGAAGGTCAGCTATGAGTCGGTTTTGACTTGATGGCAGCACTTAACAACGGTCTTGCATCTATCATGCTTAATCAGAAAAGACTGAAGTTGTCAAAGATTTAATTTTACTTGGATCTGCACGCAACACCCCATGGTAGCAGCAGTTAAGAAATCAAAAGCTGTGTTGCATTGAGCAAATCTGCTATTAAGTCCTTCTTTACAGCAATAAAGAGCAAAGATGCCATCAGTTAGAGACAAAGGTGCCTCTGTCTCAAGTCATGGTATTTTTAGCTGCTTCAAATGCATGTGAGAGCTGGATGATGAGTAAGGAAGGTCCAAGACCTGACACCTTTGAATTGTGGTGTTGGTGAAGAGTATCAAATATCCCACGAACTGCTAACAGAACAAGCAAGTCTGTCTTGGAGGAATTGGGACCAGACGCTTCTGGAGGTCAGGACGCTGAAATGTCATCTCAGGCTCCGGGAATGTTGTCAAGAGGGGCCAGTTCTTGGAAAAAAGGCATCAGAGCAGGACAAGGAGAGGTTCAGTGAAAAAGAGGAAGACCCTCAACTGTGACTGAAACAACAATGGGCTTTGGCACAGAGGAGATCCTGAGGGTGCCACACTCTAGCGGAATGTTTAGATCTGCAGTTGTTCATGGGGTAGTTGTTGTTGTTGTTATGTGCCGTCGAATCGCCTGTGACTCATAGCGACCCTATGTACAACAGCCCTTAACTCTGCTCTGTCCTGTGCCAATCGCACTGTCTCCGACACACCTACCCCCATTACCGCAGTCACTGAATCAATCCACCTCATAGAGGGTCTTCCCTTACTGCGCCGTCCCTCCACCCTCCCAAGCATGATGTTCCTCTCCAAGGACCTGTCCCTCCTTACAACATGTCCAAAGTATGTCAGACAAAGCCCCAGAATCCTTGCCTCCAAGGAGCAGTCTGGTTTTACCCTCTCCAGGATGATTCTGTTTGTTTTCCTAGCAGTCCATGGTACATTCAATACTCTTCTCCAGCACCACAGCTCAAAGGCATCAATTCTCCTTCTATCATGCCTAGTCATTGTCCAACTCTCTGATGCATAGCAAGTGATTGCAAAGACCATGGCCTATATCAGATGCACCTTAGTCTCCAGAGAGACACCATTGCTCTTCAGTACTTTGGAAAGGTCCCGAATAGCAGACTTTCCCATTGCAATACATCTTTTAATTTCCTGGCTGCTGGCCCCAAGAGTGTTGACTGTGGAGCCAAGCAACTAAAGCTGTGAACAATCTCAATCTCTTCACCATCCGTCCTGAGGAGTCATAACAACAAATCAGCATGGTTCAAACTTCCTGTGGTGCAGCTGGGTAGCCGAGGGCCATATATGGTTCCTGAGCTCTTACCATGTGGTCAGTGTGACCATTTAATTTCTTTTCATTGGTTCTAATGGCCATGTATGACCAGTGGCTACTGTTCTGGAGGGTACAGATACACTTAAGCAGTGTGAAGGCAGGAACAGGATGCCTTCCTCCCAGCTGGGTTGTTACCACCAACTGTAACATCTTACCCTAGAAAGCAGGCACTGAATAATGTCTGAAGACTTGAAGGAGTGAGCTAATGAATGAATGAGTGAATGCAAAGGAATGAGAGTCTCAAGACTTGGGTTTTCATCTCTCATCCCCCCGCACACCTTTTACATTGTTGGAGAACACTTTGCACTTATAGAAAATGCAAAACTCTCATTGCTGTCAAGTTGGAACCAATCCATAGCTGACCCTTCAGTGGGTTTTCAGAGGCTATCAATTGCCCAGGCAGAGAATGTCCACCTTTCTCCCACAGAACAGCTGAAGGATTTGAACTGCCTGCCTTTGGGTTGGCAGTCTAACTCCTTACCCACTAGGCCACCAGAGCTCCCTCAAAGTCAGAGAGTTGTTTTGCAATCCACCTTGGACTTCTTCAACCCCTCTGAGCAGAGAGCAGACTGACCTCCGATCTTGACGGTGAAGTCGTGGGCCACCATGCAGTTCCTCGCCGCGAGGTCCCGGTGAACGAACTTCTTGGCGTTCAAGTAGGCCATGCCATCGGCGATCTCCGCCGCCATCTGAATCATCTCTTGCAGGGTCGGGGGAGGGCGGCCAGGGTTGTTCTGAAGTTGCAACGGGTTCATGTTCAGGGACACGCGTGCCCTGGGCCAGGCGCAGAGGCCCTGCTGGGGTCCCTGAGGGGCAGCTCACCTCGGCCTCTGGGCGCAACGAGCGGAGGTAACTCTTGAGGTCTCCATGAGCCATCAGCTCCATCACCACCAGCGTCGGCTGACCTTTGGACACCACCCCCAAGAGGCGGACCTGCGGAACAAGGACGGGGTTCACTGTGGGCGGAATGCTGTCCTTGCAAATCCTCCCCTTTGGGAAGCTTTGTAAGGCTGATGGGGCGGAATAAGTGTGTCTGGAGACAGAAAAAGAGGGTGAGCAAGTGAGCAGAGGCTGGATGGGACGAAAGAAGGGCCGGCAGATGAAGAGCCCCAAAGGCCCAGGAGTCTGAAGCTGAAGGCCCAGGAACGACCCTGAGCTGACAGACTCTTCCACAGCCAGTGCTCCGAACTCAGACATCGTTCTGGTGGCTCCACCTCCACCTCCAAGGCAGGCGGTTCGAATCCACCAGCTGCTCTGTGCAGGAGAGATGGACAATCTCCTCTCACGTGACTTAACAGCCTCTGGAAACCGACAGGGGGTCAGCTGTGAGTCGGTTCTGATTCAATGGCACACAAGGTAATAGCCTCTCACACTGTGAGGCCGAGGGGCCGAGGGGCCGAGGAGAGAGGGGCGTTTTTAAATTGTGAAGCCATCCGCCTGTGGTATTCTAGTTCTAGCAGCCGACACCACTAACACAGGCTTCTTTTCATTCCCTGGCCTCCTGCTCTGTGGTCTGTGTGCTCAGAAGTCTTGTTTATTCTTCTATTGAATACCCTTTCTAACCGTTAGTATCTGGTTTATACAGGTGGTTGTTACGGGCTCTAGTAGCCAAGCAGTAAGGAGCTGCACTGTTAGTCCACAGGCTGGCGGTATGAATCCCCCCAGCCACTGTGTGGGAGAAAGATGAGCAATCTCCCCGTTTTTCCAGTGATTTACAGACTCTGAAAACCTGCTGGAGGGTCAGTTTCAATACAACAGCACTTAACATACAACATATATTGCTGCTGAGTTTATACGTATGTTTATGCATGCTTTATAAAGATTATTTTTACTATAATAGCTAGAATTGTGCAATATACAATGTCATTTTATTACAGTAATGTTTGATAAAAGTACATGTGTATCATTTTTAACAGAAATAAAAGTACATGTATGTACATTTTGGGGGGGGGTGCCAATGAACTGGATCTGACAGCAACCCAAGGTGACCAAGGAGAGCTGCCCCTGGGGGCTTCCTAGGCGGCCTTCAGGGGAGCAGATTAGCAGGTGCAGGTGCTGGTGGGTTTGAACAGGCAACTCTGGCAACCATGCACTTAACCACTTCACCACCAGGGAGGGCACTCTCCCTAGTACGAGACAAACTAACATAGTGACGGCAACAGTGGACTCGAGTGTGTCGGAGGCCCCGAGGACCGCACCACACAGAGCAAGGTTTCAATCTGTGGTTCGCTGCGTCGCGATGAGTGGCAGTGAACTCAACAGCCCCTAACAATAGCATGTGTGTATCTGCGCATGTATATAAACACACAGATACACAGATGACATAGAGAACATGGAATATGTCATCTAGATGTTGTTGTTGTGTGCTCTTGAGTCAGAACCAAATCGGAGCTGAAGCTTTAGGGAGTTTTTCAGAGACAATCAATCACATGGGAAGAGGCTGTCCATTTTTCTTCCATAGAACTATCAGTGGGCTAGTGTGTGTGTGTGTGTGTGTGTGTGTGTATACCATCAAATCAGATCTGACTGGTACAAGAGGAGATTGCCCCTGTTCTCCAGCAGGGCATCTGGTGGATTAGAACTGCGCACCTCTGGGATTGCAGTGCAGCTTCTTGCCACTAGGCCACCAAAGCTCACCTGGCCAGTAGATTCTAACTGCGTATCTGTGGGTTGGTAGCACAATTCCTTACCACAAAGCCACCAGAGATCCATATACATCTAGATTGATAGATTGATCTATCATCTATCTATCTATCTATCTAGATGTATATACTGATATGTACATAGATAGTATTATATATGTAATATTACTGCCTATGTGCGACTTGACGGCACATAACAACAGCATGTGTTACATGTATATTGTTATTGTTGACTGCCTTCGAGTCAAGCATGACGCATAGCGACTCTATGAACAAAAGGCCTGAAGCCCCTCTACAACTATCGACATTTATCAAAGTTCATAGCTTCCAGAGTCATGATATTTAGGAAGTGGATGCCACTCATAGCTCTGGTAGCCTAGTAGTAAAAAGCTTCGCTGCAATCCTGAAAGCACGCAGTTCGAATCTGCCTGCTGCTTTGTGGAAGAACGATGGTTCATTTCCTCCCTTGCAATTAAAATGTCTCTGAAAACCCACCAGAGGGTCT